CACAAAAACATAAATAATTTTTTTTAAAAAATTGTTTGCACAAGGAATGTACTGTATATAGCACAATTATAAATCCATGATTATGATTTTATTAGAGAATTCAGAAGTGTCAATTCTGAAACAGAATCTCATGACAAATCCTGAACAAGAAATTACTACCTTGAGAATAGAAAACTATGGCCATTTCATATTCCTACACTACCAGTGACACAATTTATCCATTAAAACCCACGCAAATTTGTATCTGAACTATTTAATATAGACCAATATAGACTTGATTTATGTCTTTCATTTTGAATACATACACCTCTATCAATTACATTCAAGTCTGATACAATACATTTTGTATTCATTGCATATAGCATTACCTTCCAACACTACTGCTCTATATAAACCTAAGCATGTAACAGCTCACAAAAACATAAATCTCATTAACTTCAAGAGAGACACTCAAAACATGTGACAAAAGCGAAGCACAAAGTGCTTATCCTAAGCTTCTTAAGACACAACTTAAGATAGGTATAACACATAGAGTGAAGACTGGTCCCAAAAGGCAGGTTTTAAAACAATGCATGCGTGAATTTTAGAGACCTGATTGTGAGCTGCACATATAACATGCACAGTCTATCACGTTAGGGCGACTGCTGGTGGTCAAAGACAGGTCCAAAAGATAGGTGAAAATGAAAAAGAAAATTGATTCATAATGCAAATATAAGTTCAAATGTTTTTAAAACAGTGTAATTAAAAAAAAAACATGAGGCATGCTAAACCATGGCAATTTTGACTTACAGTTTGGCACACACTTGAAAATTAAAGCTGAACATGTGTATGACAACATGGATGGCTTGCATAAAATTGCACAATATAACAGAATGTTTTTTAACAGCAACAGAAGCAAATTCTTCTGTAACTACCCAGACATGCACATGCAAATATTGTGTCTTTCACCCTGATTAAAACCCTTTGAAACCTGGCATTAAATTACTTACAAGGTATTACCAATGAAGCCTTCACTGATTTATAAAGATTTCCATGATAAACCTCAAACATTCACATGATGTTTTAAATGTGTATACAAAAAGGTTTTGAAATTGGAATGCACACAAGCTAAAAAAATCTGGCAAACTTTTACTATTCACTACACTCTTAAATTTTCTGTTCAAGTTTTAGAAATAATTCTGCTTTTACTTTACTGTTATCATTAAAATAAAGCTTTAAGTTTCTTGGATAAATGAAAAGTTACCCAGAGAAATAAAATGCCAATTTTTGGGGTTTTTTTTTCCTAGTGTTGCAAATTAATTTATACTTGGTCTTATTTACACAGGGGAAAAAGACCTTCAGCTCTGCCTGCACTGCACCTCTTTACCTGCTGCTTTTTCAGACAATGACACATCACAGTCTTACTTCATTTTGAAGCCAGTTAAAATTTTTATCCCCACTTACAGACAAAGGCTGCTCTCAAACATCAAGCTGACTGCAACCATCAGAGTGTGAAGGCTACATTTACGCATACACGCATTATTTCCACTCAGTCTGTCTCATGCATTGCTATTTCTGCAACTCTGTAGCAACTCTGTTTTCTTTATAGATTGCTGACTACAGATGCCCTATCCAATGTGGTAAAAAACCCAAGATTTCCTTGACAGTGTGAGTTTCTCTTTGGGGAGCGAGGGAGGGAGATGCACAGGGCTGGATGAGCGGCCCAGGTATTTGCAAGCCGGCCCTCTGAACATTAAAGAAACTCCTTACATGCCAGAAGACATGGGGTGATTAATCATCTAAAAATCAGTCACGTACATTTCCATTAATACCAGAAGGCCGTAACATATAAAATTCATCCAGAGCCCATGCCCACCACTAATCTCCTATGAAATAAATGACATGTGTGTGGCAGCAGCAGAACCACATGCAGTTGCTCCCACCTCCTGTCAGCTTCGTCCTGCTCTCATCCTGTGGCTGCGAGGCCACAGAGCTGGACCAGTGAAGCTCTCCTGAAGGCTCATTCTTCCACATATGGAATGAGAATGGACAGCTGTTCTGTTCAGTATCTCACAGAACACACACAGGACTTCAGCAAACTCTGAGTGATAAATTCACTTTTGTTACTTAAGTAACTACACAGAATTGTTGACAAGCTTTAGAGATACAGTAGTCACGGCTGCAAAGTGATAAACAGAGGCCTTGCACTGGGTTTGATGTGCATTAGGTGGAGGGTTTATATAACAGCTTCCAAATTACACATTAACCTCAGAAGACTGGGAAAAGACAACCACGATCAAAATGGTCCCCTTGTGGAAAAATTATGTAATACTTATTGAATTTAATCCTCCAAGGGTGTATCTGCCCAAAGAAGAGACAATTTTTCCCTGAAACACATGGAAGATGGAGAGCCATTAAACTAAAGACCAAGCCCCAAAAGGCTGCAAGTAACCAACTGACAGAGCACGGAGTTTAGAGACAGCTTCCACGTTCTGTTCATACCAAAACAACGGGCGGGGGGCATTGACATGCTGCCCACTCCTCCAAATGCCACAACAGAATACCATTAGGTGTAGATTAATGTACTGTTTTACAAAACCCATAAGAATGAAATCACGAAATAAAGCCAAATACATCAAATTATCCGAGGAAATGCATACAAGCATGCAGAACTAGGAAGAAAATAAAAGAGTGAGCAGAAGCCTATACCAGAATTTTCCCACATTTTACATGGTTAGCCCAGTATTTTCCTAAGTGTGTCTACATTTAAAGTCAACTAAGATGTTTATTTTCATAGGTGCCACAAATACTCTAATAAGAGCTGCATTTACAAATGCATAATACATCTCCTCACATGGATACCATAAAATACTCGGCTTTTTACTTTTTTCTTGTTATTTTAGTAGAAAATTTAGTTTTTTCCTCTGATGGAAAGAACATCAAAACAGTGGCATGGGTATACCTGTGTTTCTTTGGATGCTTTAAGGCTTGTCTGCACACAAGCACTACATTGTTACAAATAACATGCAAAAATAAATCAAAGCAACTCCATCCTTACACCTGAATTCATACCGATACAGAGCCACTGTTAAGATGGCACTTAAAAGTGCTGTTGTAATTCCCAAATAAGGTGACTATACTGTATAGTACAACTTCTTCATGCATTTTGCACTGCCACCCAAAAAGAGTGGTACCACTGCAATTGTTTCAGGAGAAAAAACATGCACAACTCATATTTCTCACTGAAACAGTCCTACGGGCTAAAAAATTAGGTCTGGAGCCTATCACACCATCCCAATACTAATGAAAGACTGTGAACTTTACTGAAAAACCAAATACTTACTCTAATAAAATAAAAACTTTAAAAACAAACACCTGAAAATACCAGTTAATTAAAGAATATGCAGACAACAGGACTGAAAAGGATTCAGTGCTGTTTACTCCTATTAAAAAAAAAATGGGAAACATATGCTACGATCTCTAAACCGTCCCACTCAAAGAATTAGGACTGAATTAGAAGATATTTCTGTAATGAAACAGAATGAACACGCTTATCACCTATTTCACAGAACTGATTAAAAAGTTACATGCTGCAAAATATGACAAATAAGCTCCTATTGCCCAATACACCATTCGAGTGTGCACCTCACTCAGAAACCAAACTTACAACAGAACAAGGAAAATTATTCGCTAGAACAACCTCATTCATTTCAACAGAATCCTCACGTGAATAAAGTTACTCATGCACACACACAGATAAGGAAGAGGCTATGAGACCCCCCCATCCCCTATGCATGCTACCACAACACCAATGCAACCTGCTACGTCCCTCTCTAGCAGGTAGAAAGGGAGTGGGGTACGTGCTTGGCTCTCTCTCCCCACTTACTGCACCTGCTAATGCAGCTGAGCTGGAAAAGGCACCCCAGGAAAAGAATGAGTGCAGTTTATTGAGTTCAGAGAACCAGGAAAACAAGTAGGGATTTGAAGCATGATTTCAAGTCACAACTGACTGTGCCATGCTCCTCCACTCCTGTAGCTGTACTGCTCTCAGACTGAGCTGCAAGGTGCTAACACAGCTCACTGTCAAACACCTCACTCCAAGCAGTCCCACAGAAACTTGGACTTTCAAAGTATTTCTTCCTGTCCTCACTGAAAGAATGTTCTGTTTAACCCCGTGTTTTCTTAGAAGATTCATGTAACTATTGAACATTCTGGATTTTCTTTTTTCAAACGCAGTCTCCCGTGCAATTCACTTCTTATATAGACGCAGGTTGTTCAATTCAAGCTGTTGATTAAATACGCTTAACGACATCGATAGTTCCTCAGAAAATATCACATCGAGTGTTACATTTATAAAGGCCTACAGCCAGCTGGCATAGAGTATGTAATGAAATAATCTTACACTTTAAATGTATTTTTAAAGGGAACTGTAACTTCTTGGGCATTTATTTGCACTGCTTTCTGTATGAATATGCCAGTCCTGCATCCATGCATCTTACTGTGAAAGCAATGCTAATATGCCATCACATTTATCTGTCTCCCTATGAAAACATAGTTTTCTACACATCACCTGGATAAACTTATTTTACTGTAACTCTGACAGAGACGCACGGAATTCCTTCTCGCAACCCCTGGAACAAGTGTTTACACACCGGGTGCTCAGGGAAGGGCAGGCGTGTGCAGACACGCGGATTTTACCGATGCCGATGCAGCTGTGTAACCCCCCGGGGAGCCCTCATCTCCCCGGGGCAGAGTCGTGCCCGACGGCCCGCGACCCCTCGGCGCAGACAGACCGGGACGGCGGGACGGAGAGCCACAGAGCTCAGCATCCTGCCTCGGGGGCTGCGGGCGGCGCCCCGGCCGGCGCGGGGCCTGCGGGGCCGTCCCGGGTGCAGCACGCTGGAGAGCGCCGGGCCGAGCCCGCGGCAGCCCCGGCTCCGCCGCCCGCCGAAGTTTGCGCCGGGCGAGGTGCGAGGCGCCGGGGCCACCCCTCTCCCGCCCGCCGTGAGCCCCGCGCTAACCTGAAGTCGCTGTAGGGGTGGATGATCCAGAACCCCGCAGTTTTAACCCTTTCCTGCTCCTTCTCCACCGCCTTCTGGCTGCCGAACATGCGGAGGGAGAATTTGTTGACCCCCGGCTGCAGCATGGAGGTGAACTGCCGCTGCATGAAACCGTACTGCCGCCGGGGTCCCTCGGCATCCTCGAAGCCCACCACGGGCTCCTCGCCCCCGCCGCCGTCCACTTTGAAGCACACCGAGTTGCCATGCTCCTTCACGCCGCCGCTGCCGGGGCTGCTCTGGGCTTTCTCCGCCGAGGCCGCCGGCTTGGCCGGGAAGGAGTTAGCGCTGCCATCGTCCCGGCTGCCGGCGGAGGAGCTGCGCTTCCCAGCCTCCATGCTGCGGGGCGGGCGCACCCCAGCCGCGGGAGAGCGCGGGGAAGCCTCGCCGCCGCCGGTGCCCTTCAGCGCCGCGGCCGGGCTGTGCCGCCCTGAGCTGGGCTGGGCTGGGCAAGGCTGGGCAGGGCTGGGCAGGGCTGGGCTGGGCTGAGCTCCGCGCCGCCCGGCCTCAGCAGCGCCGCCGGCTCGGAGCGCGCTCCGCGCAGGGCGGGCACCGCCGCCCCTCGCCCGCCCCCTGCCGGCGGCCCCGCTCCGCCTGACATTGAGCGCCGAGTCCTTGAGGGGCCGGGCGGCGAGCCGGGCAGGGGACAGGGGACAGGGCCCCCGAGCGCCGGGCCCGCGCCTCCGCAGGAGCACAGGAACACGCGTAGGTGTATGTTTCACCCTGAGCAAAGCAAGGGGCAAGCTGTGGGGGGGGTAGCGTGCCTGTGCAGCCCGAGCGAGAAACAGTGGCCGGGAGTGATGCAGTGAGGCGTTTCCACGGGCTCGGCGGTCCCTTGGGAAGCCTCTGTTGCTCCTCGTGGAGCAGGCGGACTGGGAGAGGGCAAGAGGCGGGGTGGGGGGGTCTGCCTGGCCGTGGGGTCGAGGGGCGGCACTGAGATTCGCGAAGGCTTTGTGGGTTCGTCCTGGTCAGGGTGCGGTGTGTGTCCAGCACAGGGGAACATCGGGGCACCGTGAGTGAGCAGGGAAGGCCGGCTGTTGAGTGGCATTCGTTTTCACAGACGAAGCTCATCGGTCCGGTTAGACACCCCCGCCAAGCGGCTCTTCCTTGTCCTTTATCCTGGAGCGGGCTGAAAACGGGCCACGGGACGTGAGAGATGCTGCGAGCGCGGCTGGACCACCCCGGGATGCCGTTCCCGTCGGGAGGGCTGCACTGCCACGGGCACCTGCCTTTTCTCCCTGGAAGGCGTAAAGTGGCAGGTGCTCCCGAGGGCGTAGACAACCTTTTCACGTATGCCAAGAGGTGATTTGGCCTTTGTTGGCAAGTCAGCAGCAAACTGGAGTCCACATTTAGTTTGCTCCTCTTGACATTTAAGTACATAAATTATAATTAAGAAGCCCCTAAAAAGCCAAAAAAAAGCTGTCAGACAGAAAGGAAACAGTGGGTATTTCTAGCTTCCAGTACTCTACATACACTCAAAGGAAATAGGGTATATATTGCCCTCAGTATCTCTACAGACATTGTCCTAGTGATTGCAGGTTGTAATTGGAGAGCTGTGGGGTGAGGCAGGAGCTGAGAGAGCAAATGATAAGAAGCTGTTTATAAACTCTGAGAAAGGAGGAGCTTGGTCTCTGGTCTGAAAAAATGAGAAATGCTGATACTTATCCCAAAAGCTGTGAGGTTTTTGGGTTACAGAATGATGGAGAATCAATATCTGCAGATATTAACAGAGGAGCTCTAGCCATTTATGTCTGCCTGCAAAAACATATATTACAGCATATACATGTAGGTCCTGGCCTTCCTTTTAGAGTAGGTTTGACATAGGTTTGTTTTTCACCCATTCCCAAAACATTTTTCATTTTGCACATTAAAAGTAGAGAAGAATTAGTAAAGCCTCACAAGCTTGACTGTTGTATTTTCAGAAGCATTTTCCACTTCATTTTTGCATGCTTTGTCCTTTACACAACAGATGCTTAAATCTAGAAGAGAAACAGATGTGCTAATCTGCACCCCAGGAATTGCACAGTGTCAATCTGGTGCATTGGGGGGCTGTATTTCAACGTGGGATCTGAGGGCTTTTCTCAGCAATTGCGGCTCTAACAGAACGTTTATGCCTAGTGCACTCAAACACACCATGTTCCATTGATGTTAATGACTTCAGTGAGGAAGATGTTAACATCATGCCAGTGTGAAAGATGACAAGTACAGATGCACTAGCATGGATTGCTGAAGGCTGGGCAGTGACCAGGATAGGAAGGAATATGCTTGTAGAGTGCTTGGTTGAGGGCTGACACACATAAACCGTCCCCACCTGGAGTGACACTTTCCTGTAGGATTTTATCCTAAGACAGTGAAGCGTGTTTGCACAGCTGCTAATGGTTCATACACAGCAGCTGATAGACAGAAACCTCTTGTTGTTTTATCCCTAAATGGTGCCCACCTCCTTCCCTCATCCAATGTCTGTCACTATACAATAATTAAAAAGTAAGAAACTACTACTGTTTTGCAGCTTTCTTAAAGAATTAACTCACATCATATTGGACAACAATCCAGAAAGGCAAGGGGTGAAGAGTCTAACTCACACAGTGTTTTTCCACACACTCAGCATTCCACATCATGGGCAGTGGAACTGACAATTGCCATGTCAGTCGAATAAATGTTGCAACCTTAGGGTTTCTGCTACTTCTTCACAACTTATTCCACGGGACTTTTGCATTCAGTCCTTGACCTGAATGGTCTTTGCCAGCATAACCCAGGACAGCAACAGCTAGTCATGCACAAGACAAAAATAGACCTGTAGTGGAGTAAATCAGAACAGTGAAATGGAGACATTTACAGCTGCAGTAAGCAGATTCTGTAGATCTCTACAAAGATGTAAATTTTTTTAATTGGAGAAGCAATGAGCACTGGATTAATGGTGATGGTCCTTCATTTATGGATGAGGAAAATTTTGCACAGCAAAAACATTCAATTTCTTCCTTCATGAAAACTTGCTTTCACTTGTATTTAATGTCTCATTTGCCAGTATTTATCCTTACTTAGCATGGACTGCAGACCTACCAAAATGACCAACCCTGCCTACCTTCCCCTCTTTTTGCAACAGAAGAATCTGGAAGTGTTCTATTTCCCTTGGTGGCATTATATAGATATGACAGGGGTTTGTTCTATCAATGCCCTACAACTTAGGAGTTCTTAAAGAAAGAAAATATCCTGCATTACCTGTAACATATGATTTTATGCATGCTTTTCAAACACAGCATGTGTATAAACCACACATGTATTTATCTCTAGGTAAAATTGAGATATATTTTGATATTTTCTGTTTCCTGTGATCAAACTTTAGATTTTTGTAACTTTTTTTCTGTATAGAAGAAATCTATACTTATTTGTACACATCTGAGTGATATTTGTCCTAATTGACCTTATATGACCTATATATGGCCTAATTGACCTTAACAACTTAACATCTTGCAATTCTTAATAGCAGTCCTGATATGTTAGGATGAGAAAGCATTTTCATGGTCTGTTGTTTTTCTTTGGGAGAATGGATTCTTCCAAACAACTGAATGTTGTTTTCAGCCCAGAAATTTAACTCTCCTGAACCTCACCATGTTAGCTTAGAGAATTTTGATTCACATAAGAAGAAACCATAGTGCATGGTGTGTGGGAATAGTCCTGAAGACTGCACCAGGGATGAAAATGGTTGAAAGGTCACTTTAGCTGAAGGTATAGCTTGTTCTCTGTCAAGTTTTATTTTGATTTTGTGGCCATGTGAGGAGAAACACACAGAAAAGTGAAATTTATACATGAAATTTCCAAGAAATCAGTGCTAGCAGAACAAAACTGGCAAAAAATTGATTTTGCATCTCTTTGCTACATCCTAGATTAATCGATCACTACTAAAAATTAGTAAGCTGTTTGACTTGTCTCTATTAAATTATTTTTATTACTTATTCTACTTCATCAAAGTACTGTGACATCATTAGTTTCAGTGCTTTATATGACTCTGTAATGCTAATGTATACTAAGATTAATATTTAAAAAATTAATTTTCTTCTCTTCTGCCAAACATAGTAAATTTTTTGTACCTGTAGTAAATACATTCCTCCTTCTCTTTATTTTTTCATTTTGATATTACTTGAACATACACAGAAAAGTTTGGCTGTAGAAATAAAAAAAAAAAAATAGCAGCCTGTGTACAGAGGCATATGTATTTGTTCAGTGAAGAAACTGGGGCACAGCCAAGCAACAAGACTTCTTTGAGATGACCCAGTAAGATACACCTGACTGCAGAACAAAGCTCTTGTCTCTCAAGTTAAGATTTCATGGCATGTGAAATATTTTTAAGATTCTTTCTCAACACAAGGTCACCGTCAAGTCAAATAGCAAACCAGGGTTAGCAAGGAAGGAAAATAGTTATATTTACAGTTATGTAACTATGTCTGCCAGCTTAATTGAGGATTTATCCAGATTCATATGTGCTGTATTCCATGCCTGTTTGCTTGAAGTTTGCAATTAAATAATTTTGATTTGATCCTACCCTACTTATGTTACTTTCCATGCATACATATTCACACATACTTATTGGAAATAAATTTTTTCAATAATATAGATTTTACATTAATATTAGCTAGTGTTTATGAAGCAGGAAGAATCTTAGCATCCTTTGAAGAAAATATACCACAAAGCAATTGGAACTTCAACCATGATTGTTACATGGCAGCTGTCCATACAATTACTTGAGTTGTTTGGCTTTTTTTTAACTCTGTAGTACAGTTTGAACATCCCCAGTGAGTATTGATAAACATGTAAATGTGATCTTGGTGATTTCTGTTTTGGCCAGGTAGTGAGTGTTGAAAGTCCTACTGCAGCATCTCACTGGTACAGTTCTGGAACAGGAGGGTAAAATTAAATCACAGAATATTCCTACTGGTTTTTGCCAGCTCTCTGAAGTGTCTTTTATTTATGCAAATTACTTTCTAAATTTAATAGAATATTTGTGTGCTTTGAGTGCCTTATCTTTTTTTGAAGAAAAATACTTTTATGCCAGTGTTTATTATCTGTTTAATAAGCTGCCAGATCTTTATTCAACCCTATGGAGATATCATCGCCAAAAAAGAAAAGTAAAAAATGAAAAACAAATTTGATTTTTTTAGTCGTATGTGTATTATTGTTTATTATTCTTGGCTAATGTCTGAATTATTGGGTACCTGAAGTGCTTTAGAAATTATTAAGAAATTGCTTTCTCTGACAAATGTTCAGCTGGCTGACTAAGTGGCTATGATAAGGCACTTCAAATTTTTGATATGTTAAAAATATTTTTTCTTGTTGTTTAAATGCAAATGTACCCCAAATAAATTGTATTTAAAATCATATTCTTAACAGTAACTATTTTATGACTGTATTGGTTTGAAGAACTATGATTTGACACTACAAACAT